AAGCGGACAAGAAGTTTGGGCTGGAGAGAATTGTCCTTCTACGCGAGATTGTGGAGTCGTTACCACGTCATCCCTACGAGACAATGAAGCACTTGATTCGCCATCTGTGCCGAGTGAGCGGCAATTGCGATGTGAACCGCATGGAGCCCAAGAACCTGGCCATCATATTCGGGCCATCGATAATCAGGACGCCGAACGATACCCTGGAAACGGCAGTCAAGGACATGAAGCATCAGTGCCGCATCGTTGAGCTGCTCGTCACACAGGTAAGGATCCTAAGTTCATAGTTTATTATACGTTTGTATACGATAACAATCCATGTATTTCCATTTGAATTGCAGTACAACTACTTCTTTGAGGGCGGCAGTCTGCCGGATTTAGCCGAAGTAAGCGGCGGTACCGCCGCCATAAGCGCCGCTCAGCCGCAGCAGCAGACACAGGAGGATCAGACGAACATGCTGTTGCACAACCTGTCGAAGATCGAGCGGATCACAGAGCGCGAAACCACGCGCACGTCGCGCTTTATGCCGCAGCTCAGACGAAAGACCCATGGCAAGCGGAGCGCCGTAAACTCGGACACGTACTCCGGCGAGAGCGTTCTGGTAAGCGGGAGCTCCTCCAACACCAACACCACCACCACCACCACCACCACCACCACCACCCACACCACAAGTAGCACAAGTAGTAGCAACTCCATCACCACAACCATCAGCACCACCACCATCCAGCAGCGACGGGCGCAGCGCAAGGCTGTGCAGAGCATTTGCGACCAGGCTCTAATCCTGCTCCTGCCCACACCCGTTTCTTCCGTCTCTCTTCCCTTTCAGTCGTTGGACTACGCCAAGGCGTCCGCCTCGGCATCCGCCAGCAGCACCGCCAGTACCTCCAGCAGTTCGACGCTTCACAGCGGCGGCAAGGCATCCGCCTCATCCTCTTCCAGTTCCACCACCAAGTTCAGCTCATCGTCATCGTCGGCATGCTCAACAACGGCGGTGGCCATTTCATCCTCCATCTCGGCGACTTCCTCCAAGTTGTTGAGTGCCAATTTCAAGAAGCGAAGCACGGGAGGTTTCCTGGGCTCAAGATCCTCGCACCAGACGCGCAAGGCCAGCTTAGACGAAAAGGACTCAGGACAGTCGTCTGGCAGCCTAGGCCACAGTTTGGGAGTAGGTATCAATCTGGCCAAGGAACAACAGCGCAGCAGCGTGGACATATCCATTCTGCTAACGGACGACGACTCCAGCAGCAGGCTGAGCGATACGGGTAAGGATCTAATGCGGTGAGATGAGGGAGCTGATAATTAAGTGACTCCTTACTGTTAACCAGGTTCCATGTCGCTGACGACCATTACGGACACACTGGACAGCAAGCTGCGCAACCTGCGCAGCGGCTCCGAATCGAACGACGAGAATGGATCGCCCGAGTTTCCCAAGAACCGGCGGCACACCTTGGGCCAACCGCTGCACATGCACTCCGAGAACATTCCATATGCGGACGAGTCGCCTGAGCGGCTGTTCCATCAGTTTTGCAATCCCCTGGAGACAGCCCCCTTATCCCTGCACCTGAGCCGCTCCTGCACGGCCACCAATACAATTTGCGGCGATGAAAAGCCTTCAAAGCAGTCGGCTGGAGTTGCGCCACTGCCCCCAAGTTTGCTTAAGGCGGCACACAAGTTACAGCACTCAGCCACGGTGCCCATTCATCAGGGCAGCTCCACTGCACCAACTAGCGGAGCAGCCACGCCCGTAGGCACGCCGACCGGGAGCAGTGGGGCCGGCGCTATTCCCTCGCGCTGCTCGTCCAGCAGTGTCACTATGCTAGCCAAAAGCATACATCCCAGGTTCAGTAACTATCTAAGCTATGAAAGGGGCACCGCAGCCGCTGGAGGCGCTGAAAGGGTGGTGGGATCCTCCGGAGGAGCTGCTTCCGAGGACGATTCCGAGGGCTCGACCACCAGTGATCCCAAGGAGAAGCTGCTGCTCGGTGAACGACCGTCGCCCTCGTTTTTTATCGAGCGCTACAACAAAAAGAGACGCGATCATCGGTTATTTCGCAGCGCCAGCTTCAATTGCCGGAACTACTCCACCCGGCACATGACGACGCAGCCATCCGGAGGAGTAGCGGCGGGCGTATCGGGCGGAGTAGCTGGAGCGGTGGCGGTGGGAGTGGCTTGCTGCCAGGCATTGAGCACCACTGGCTTGACCAAGGACGAGAAGACTGACATGAACCTAACCAAGAAGCGCCAGATCCAGAATAAGCAGAATCGATCCATTAAGCGGCGGCACACGGTAGGCGGACCTCACGACTACTCCGCCAGCAATGGTGGCTGCTCGAATCACTCACACGGTCACGACCTGGCAGCCATAAACTACAATCACCACAACCGCCATCACCAGCAGCAGTTGTTGAAGCTGGGCAGCGCTACATCTGGCGGCGGAGGCAGTGGCGCAGCTGCAGCCGAGACGACGACCACCACAACGACCACTACCACGGTGCTGCGGCGCCTCGGTACGGGTCAAGCTGGCGCCGAAGCCAGTGTAGCCTTGCCCGGATCTAGTTCCGGATCCGGCAGCAACAACAATAACTCACCCCAAAGCGATGGCAGTAATGGCAACGGCGGTGGAGTAGCGGGAGTGGTCTCGGGTGCACCGCCAACTGGTGTAGGTGGCGGTGGCAACAACAGCAGCGCAAGTGGCAGCAACAGCAGCAGCACCAGCACAACTCCCGCTGGGAATGGAGATCAGGTCCTAGAAGTGGGCATACGCATCAAGAACATTAACCGGGGTCGCTTCTAAAAACCGGGACTCCCAAACTAAGAAACCAGAAGCGAACAGTTTAATATGGTTGACACAGTCAGGCGAACTCCCATTCATAGCAAACAGTCTAAACAAAACTAAAACTGTAATATGGACTGTAATTATGGAAAAGACAGTCCGCTTAAATCGCGTTTCAAAGAACCTGACCTTAGTTTATAACTCTTAATGCAGATTGCTGCGACAAGACCACCCCAAAATAGCAGTTGCTTAAATGTGGTTAACCTGATTAATTGACACGTTGAATCCCACAGTTTACATGAGTATTAACGAAATGTTTAATATATAGACAAAGGCATAACGAGAAGATATTTAACAATAGTCTGTTGAACACACAAATGCTAAACACACATTTAAACAAAACAAAACAAAAGTTAAATTGAATGTTAACCCAAAAGTTGATAAAGGCAAATCGTTGTAGCAAAGGCTATTCGAACACCTTTTAAGTAGTCTTGCTTCACAGGCCCTCGCGTTTAAGACTAAGTTTGGCAAGTTAAACGGCCAAAACGAGTTTTAAATTCAAATTGGGCGTGGCAGAGGCGCTTAAGTGGAGCGAAAATACCGCATGCTACTTAGATTCTGTAAAAAGTAGTCACCATAGTCTATTTTACTATAACCTATATCAATGTGCAGTTGCGGCGTTGTGTCCGAATTTGGTCTTAAAAGTTAACCAAAAGGAGTGTAGAAAAGTGTTGATTGCGAAACAAATCAGCAGAGCAGTTGAAATACATATTATTACATATTCTATCACAATATATTTATATATTCATGTGCAGACCCCGCGAAGTTGTGTCGAATACAATACCACATATTACAAATATAACCCATTGAAACCCAACCAAGGTAACTTAACCTAGCTAGTTGGCAAGGATCCCAGATCGAATTGCTTAATGCACTGTAATGAAAAGGCACAACTTCGGGGGCAAACAAATCGTAACAATGCAACGCAGGAAAAAACAATCTGTACGAGGGCAGGAAGTAATTTATTCGCACACACGAAACACACAAAACACACAAATTAAATGGGAACCAAGCTAAGATGGCACATATATTGCGGGAGACAGAGAGTGACAAGGAGAGGGAGATAGAACGAGAGAGAGAGAGAGAGAGAACTATTTTGTAAAACTTATACAACACAATACAGAGAATTCGCATAAGCAACCAACCACCTACGTAAAGGAACAATGGAAGGAGTCGCCTGTCCGCGTCCGTGCACTTGGATGAGTCCCTCTGACAACTAAGTTGTGCTAGGTCCTGCATGGGGATAAGTTCTGTTCTTAATTTGGATGTGCATTTGTTTTTTTTTTTCCGTGTACCTCTGTACCTGTTGTACAAAAATCGTAGGGTTGATGATCCCATTTTTGGTGCCTTAAATTATTGGCTTTAAATTCTGTTAACCTTTTTTCCACCCACAAAATGTGTTTGTTTTTTACAAACCAATTTTTTTTTTTTTTGTATTTATTTGGATGGTGCTGAAGGAAATGCATGATATAGGTGCAGGTGCGGCTACAAAGCTATGAAGTGGGGGATAGATTTTTCCGACAGGCGACCAGAAGAGGGATGGCGTGTTCGAAATTAGGTTTGATTGATAAAGCGACTATATGTTTACCATATGACGCACGAAAAACGGCATAAATTTACATTTACATATATAATATTATATATTTTTGTGTAGTTTGTATATGATTTAAGTTTGGCAAATACAAGAACGCATAAAAGTACATGCAAATGCATATGATTAAGCAATTAGATAGTTGTATAGTATTCCTCCCATTTTTTTTGCTGTATATACGAGTTAATTTTTTTGATTTCATTCACAATTATGATTTACACCACCCCCAAAAAGGATATATAAAGATTATATATTCTGTACGCATTTTGTTTTGTTACCCGATGGCAGAAAATAAAAAACAAGAAAAAAACGAGAAGGCAGGCGAAAAGTATATAGAAAGTACCCAAGCGCGTAACGTTGCTATATAAATATTATGATTAACTAAAAACAATTTTTTGTTAGACTTTAGGTAGTTATTTTTTAAAAATTGTATTTTCTATTACACATGTATATGTACATCTATATATATTTTATTTGTATTATGATTTTTTTCAACAAGTAAATGTGGATTTTCTATAATACTGACAACACAATAAAAAAAAGAAACAACCAATATTAAGAATAAATTGTACAAGTATAAACCAGAAACAAGCACTTTTTATTATCGTTTTGTTCCCAGCGATGACAACATGATTATCAACTACATCTAAGTCCCCAGCAATGATAATGATCTATGTACAGAATGGCTTTGTGAACGTTGGAGCTTATAGCTTGGCCTGTGGACCCGTTCCAGAGATCTTGTAGACAAACTCGTGGGCCACATCGTAGTACGGATTGCAGCTCTGGCGCACTCTCTTCAGCCACGCCCTGATTTTGGGGTACTTGATCCTGACATCGTAGTCGGCCATTCCTGGATTGAATGAGTGAAATGTGATTGTACTTGAATTATCGAAGAACTGAAACCAAACTCACGTGTCTGTTCGATTTCGCAGGCTGCAAAGATGTCCGCCACGGTGAGGGCGGATCCGGTGAGGAAGTCCTTGCCCTCCAGCCAGACCTCCTCGACCACATCGAGGTTGCGCTCCATGTGCATGCGGAACGTCTCGATTTTGGCTTCGGAGGGAGTGCGTCCGGTGAGAAGCGGCTCCAGCCACACGGTGCGGAAGTACATGGCGCAGGTGAGCCGCAGGGACATGTGCTGCCACTCGAGGAACTCGTCCACGCGGCTCTGGTCCACAAAGTACTTGGGGTACAGGTGCTCCGGTATCTTGCCCTTGGCGCTCAAATAGCGCAGAATGGCCACGCTCTCCGCCAGCTTGTAGCCATTGTCGTGGATGCAGGGCACGCGCTGGAAGCGGTTAATCTCCTTCTTGAAGTCTTCGGTCAAGTGCTCGCCTGAGGGGACAAAGACCGTGGTCAAGATTAGATTGTGACCACAAATGGCGGGGCCAAGTGGATACGCACAAAACACAGATGGTGCCAAAACTATGGAACTAAACTTAATCTACGAGTATAATATGGAATTTGTAAATTCTTTCACAAGATACAATTTTTAAAAGCGCCCAAAACGATAATGCTTTGATCGATAACAGATCGATATTAACGATAACACCAAGAAGATACGTTTTTGCATTTTGTTTGAGATGCGTGAAGTATTGGCACACTTGCCCACCATATGGACACACTTTGACCCGCACACCGAATACCCTTACCATTGCGCAGGGCCACCACGCAGTCTTCGAAGGGCATATTGCTCAGCCGGAAGATAATGAACAACGCCCTCGAGGGCTGCGACATCAGGTCATAGTAGTAGCGAATGGGAGTGGACATCCTCAGGTTCGTTGGCTGTCTGTAGGGAACTGCAAAGAGTAGTTGGGTTACATCGGTTAGGCGCTGCATAAACAAATGCTAGCCGGTCCAAAGATCACCAAAGAATCTCCGCTGGTAGCCGCGGAACAGCTCTCCACACCCCTGAACTCACCACAAAAGCGGACGGTGGGCAACTGGAGCAACTGGGAGCTGTGCCACTGAGCTGCGACTTGGATCGGATCGGAATCAGCTGGCTGGGCAGCAAGTTGTGCGCAGGGAAGTGATTAAGTGTGGCGAGAGCGAGCTTTACGTACTGGATTTTATCAACGAAAAGCTCTGTAGTGATGAGCGCTTATGGAAAAATCACGTAACGAACGTAACGTTACAATTAAAACGAAAAAACTATTTCCGAATCGATAGATAATGCAATCCACTAAAATGCGCTCAAATAAAAGTTTAGATCACTTCCTGGCCAAAGATGTTGGATTGGATATTAGGTATTAAGCATAAAACATGAGAGTTCCTTGTGAGTTAACAAAGTCACAAATAAATAATCAAATAATGTTAAATAAATAAATCAAAGTTTCCAGGAGATATTGGATGTCGCAAATTGAACCTCCTGGTGTGTTTATATGGGCTAAAACATTTTATTTTCATGTAAGTGCCTTTTTTATATACGTATGCTCAACAAAAGACTTCTAAAAATTAAATTCCTCTACACAGAAACTAAACTTCTCCACAAATGGCACATTAAATGATTAAAATATTAAATTTACAACTTCGTCTATTGATTTCAATTCATATAAGAAACCAATATATTTAATACAAATAAATTAAATTTAAAATTGGAATCAACTGCTGCTGGTACTTCGGCCTTACTTTTCACTTTTAAGCATTGTTTTTAAACTAACCTCTGGGATTTAGAACCTCATCAAAGGCCAACTGCAGCTGATCCTCCTCATTGCTGAGTCCCAGTAAACTGGCCAAAGACGACACCGACATAGCGAGATCCGAACTCCAACGAATCGAGCAAGTGAATGAACTGGATGCAGTTGCTCCAACTTATATACCTCTGTTGTGTATGATCTGCAATCTGAGCGAAAATGCGAATGCGAATGCGACTGCGAGTCAAATAAACAGAAGTGAAAGAAAATAGGCGCAAGGTAATTTTAACCCTCAAGATAAGGCTACACCGGCTACACTGCAAATTAAAATTAATATTTGCAAATGACACACAAATAGGTATAATACTAAGTAGGAAAATGTTGCGAATCGTTCATAAAAGTATATGAAATATATATGAAAAATTGATAAATCCATACCAAATGAGGTGCCACTGAGCTGCGATTGTTTTTCCAGTGCAACTGCGTTTCATTCATCCCCTTCAATCTGCACAGCAACAAATAATCAAGCCAGTTCTGAGCCATTGGCAACACCGGAGGCCAGGAATAGAAACTCCAGGGAAGGTCCGACTTATCGCTCGATAAGGATTGCTTAGCTCAAGTTCTGTGGCAACAGGTGAATGGGGCGATCAGCTGATTCATTTATATCTATGCCTCGGCATCTGCCACACAAACTTCGGTTTTGATAAGGTATATATCGTATGTGTATTTATTAATTCCGATTCAAACATACCGACGTCATTTGCTTTGTACTTGTATACATTTAACTATATATGTGCATATATACATATATATATGCATATATATATATATTTATATATATTCATATTCAATTTGCGTGGGCGTATATATATTCACAGACATACACAGACGTATGTATATGTGGTATTCGTAATTGAGATAAAGTGGAGCCGAGGTGTCGTCCACCTCCCTTTTTTGGCCGGGAAAGGTACATTTACAAAGAGTATAATTAGGGTATAAAGATAATCCACAACATTTATACTCGGTGTAGAGAGAGATCACACAGTGGGGGAAATAGGTATGCGTACGCGTTGACTGCGCCTTGTAAATATATTTATATAAAAATAAGATACAATTAAATGAAACTGGAACTTGGTTTGGCTTGGCAGCGTATAGATATAATAGACACACAACATCCGACGATATGACGCCCATATACTTGTACATATATGGTAGTTTAGGAGTACTTGACTTATTGTTGACTTGATTGTTACACACAATTGGATATTTTTCGCTGGTACCGAGCTTGGATTTCTTTGCTTTATCCAGTAGAAGGTCTGGTTTACTTGGGAACGAAACGTAATTTAATATTAGCTGCATGTGCTTTTTGTTTGATGTGCGATTGCTAATACTTTCAAATATTGTTGGGCTTTTTTTGGTTTTAAAAGTATTTGAATACTTGAAATGCTCGAAGTTTTTGATAATGTACAAACAATAGAGCCAACTCAGCCCAACATTTGCTAATACTTGATAGTGAACGTTTTAAAATATTCAAGCCCTTAAGTTAAATGTGTATTTTCAATTCAATTCAGTTTTACTCGCTTATCTGAAATAACAGCTAAACGCACTTTTTGTGTGTATATTGATAATCTAATTCGCCCTTTGATATAACGTGATAATTACCTTGCACCCTTTTGATTTTCTCTACATAATAATACATATGCTCGTATGTATGTTTTCCGTGTATGCCTACCACTGCACTGAAAACAAATTGTTCGAGTGCAAAGTGTGAGTAACAGATGTCTAAACAGTTGTATACGGTCTTTGATTTCATATAAGTTGTCATTCTTTTGATCAGAGTCTTATGCATTTGCTGCCCCTGTTTTCTGGTTACCTTTATTTTGGGGATATGCGTAAGAGTTTGGGAAGAGCCTACTAGACATAAGGTTCAGTTCCCATTAGGATTAGGATTAGGATTAGAGTTACAGGTTCAGTGGTTTCTGGTCGCATACAAATCTAGTTTGAATACTTAATAGCGAAGACATCGATCGACACATACATACATATGTACTTATTGTTTGTTTGTTAATCCGCGTTTCGCATTGTTAGCTTAGTGGGTTTCGGTGTACTTTGGCAAACGAAATTTGACTGAACTACGATCTACATTCTAGAATAACGCTCTACATAACTTTATAGCTGGTTTCTGCCCATCCACTCCTCTACTTGTTCTCGATGATCATCTGCAGCTGGAGCACCAAACTCCGGGCCAATTGGAGCACCGACTGGGCGTTGTGCCGCTCCGCCATTTCTGAAACCAAAATAAGCACATAGATGTTGGTAGAATTTTACTTATGAGGTGTATGGGGCGTGCATCCCACCATTAAAGAACTTGATGACGTCGGTGAAGTCCATGCTGTTCGAGAGGATGATGTCGCGATAGGTCTCCAGCAGGGCCAGGGCCAGGAAGAGGACGAAGTGGCCGGAGGCGATGTGCTTGGCCGCCCAGATCACCTCCCAGGTGGCGAAGACGTCGTCGTAGACGAGCTCCCTCTTGAAGTCCAGCAGGAACCACCTGTAGCAGAAGTAGAAGTGCGTGTAGTCGCCGTTCGAGTCCATCAGGTCGTACATCTCCGAGTCGAGGATCTGGATGAGGGACCTACGCAAAGGGGGGATTAGTCCATTGGTACGACCATCTTGGCCAGAAGCACTCAACTCACCTCATGTTGGCAAAGTGCATGTCCATCGCCCCGCCGCTGGGAAAGTTCTCGATCATGCGCTCCATCAGCTTGCAGAAGCAGCTGTAGCTGAGCGACTCGTCGTCGAAGATGACCAGGAGGGGAGCCACCAGGTCGCACATGCCCTGCATGTAGCCCACGTCCAGGTGCTCCCACACGTACGTGGAGATCACGTTGCGCAGCTTGTCCAGGTTCTCGTTGGCGAAGTACCAGTAGTTCCTGTCGCACCGCTGCACGTCCTTCTCGATCCGGTGCAGATTCAGCCCGAACTGCTCCAGGAGCTCGCTCTGCAAAGGTGTACAAGCCAAGTCAGGAAGTGCGTCATAATAACAAGTGAACTGGCTTGGGCTACTCACAGTGTAGACACCTCCATTGGAGCTGGCTGGGGAGGCGCACGCGGACTTGGGCTGCTGTAGGGCATCCATATTGACGCCTGCGCCGCCGGATTCGCCGGCCTGCTCCTCGAGAGGTGACATCTGGTCGCCCTCTGCCGCCTTGGGGCTGCGCTCCCAGTTGCTAATGTCCACGGAGGCCTTGGTGATGATGACAGCGGCGGCGGCCGGTGGTGGTGGCTTCACTGCGTCTTCATCGTCCGGCAGCTGCAGATCGTCGGCACTCAAGTACTCCGGGCTGAGGACACTACGTGTGTCGCTAGTCGGGCGTTGATGCACATCGCCGGGTCCAACTGTCTCGTAGGAGGAGGCTGTGGAGGCGGAGCAGCTGGGCTCCGGATTGAGCGGATCCTCCAGCTTGCGGTACTCCACCTGATCCTCGGACTCCGGATGCATTTGATCCTGCTGCTGCTTTGCATTGTGCTCCTCCTCGTCCGGTTCATCCATTTCATTGAAGCCCTCGCCCTCGTCCACGTGCCCCGAATCCGTACTGGTCTTCATGGCCCTCGGAATGGGCTTCACACTCAGGTGATTGCCACTCACCACGCACTCCGCCTGCTGCTGCTGCTGTTGCTGTTGCTGCTGCTGCTCATCGAACTCCAGATCCCCGGGATCTGAAATGTCCGATATGTCCTCGAACACCTCGTTCTCCAGTTCGCCACCGGCTTCGAGGTCGGCTGCCCGCACGGTTCGCTCGTTTCCGGAGTTGCTGCCGGAACTCAGCTTGGCCACCGCCCGCGCCGTCTTCTCCTTCTCTCTCTGCTGCACAATGGCGTCCACCGCCAGCCACTCGCTCATCGTGGTCTCGTAGTAGTGCTTGCAGGTCTCGTCCTGCTTCCTGCGATCCTCCGCTGTGGAGCCGAAGGCGTAGTGGCCCAACAGGTAGGGCCACACCTCCTGCCGCAGCTCCGGCTGGACGCCACCGAAGTAGACCAGGCGGTAGAACTCGGTCGCGTTCTCCAGGACGCCGTCCACATTGAGCAGCTGCCAGCGCTCCTTCGTCAGGCCCTCCTCATCGGCTTTCACTGAAAGACGTGTAGGTTACAATATATGACAAGTCACCGAGTCTCGCCAACATACTCTCCGGCGTAATCCTGCCGTGCACCAGCCCGGACAAGTGGGTGCGCACCGTGGAGAGGTGGCGACAGTAGGCCAGCCAGCCGTAGAAGGCCCTGGAGATGATCTGCCGACGCATGGTGGAGCAGACCATCTCGATGCTGGTGCTCTGCGCCTGGAGCAGCTGTTGCTGCTGCTGCTGCTGTAGGAGCAGCGGCGACTCCAGCGGGAACTGGTCGATGGAGAGGCTCTTGTTGGAG